GAGGGTTATTGTTCTTTCTTAGAGCTAGATGTGGTGGGAAAGAGAGGCTAAGACAGTTCCTTTACTCGCTTTTTGATATTAGAATAGGTAACTAGGATAAATATTGAACCTTTCACTCTGCCAATTTTCCTAAAATAAAAAGTGACTCACCTTTTGATTTGGATACGCATACTCACATAATCGCCTATATGCGTCCAATTTCTAAAATAGGAGAAAAGGGAGTTAATAAGCAAACTAAAGTTCCTATGTTTCGTCCCAGTGGCATGGTCTCCAGTCCAGGCCCTCACCTGGCCTTTGCTGCTCAGCTTTAATTGCTGGCACCAGGCCCGTACAATGTCCCGGTGAATCAGATTGACCGGTGGTAGTTTAGACGGTAAGGGAGGAATTGGTATCTTCTTCCGGGGTTTGGGGTTGTCACTGTGCTCTGCTGCCTTCTTTGGGGAGGACTCTGACGAAGAAAGGAATAAAATTAGTAATAATTAACTTTGTGTAGCTTTTTAGCATTTCAGAAGTATAATCACTTCTAGTTCTTATAGTCCAACCCCTCCCAAACCTAGGATCTAATACCTCTAAACTCCATCATTTCCTTTCCTTTTTTTGTTTTTTTTGGAGACAGGGTCCTGGGTAGAGTGCAGTGGCGTGATCATAGCTCCCTGCAACCTCAGACTCCTGGGCTCAAGCGATTCCCCTGCCTTGGCCTCCTGAGTAGATGGGACTACAGGCATGTGCCACCATGCCCAGCTAATTTTTCTATTTTTTGTAGAGATGGGGGTCTCACTCTTGCTCAGGCTAGTCTCGGAACTCCAGAGCTCAAGCAATCCGCCTGCCTCGGCTTCCTAAAGTGCTAGGATTACACGTGTGAGCCACCATACCCGGCCTAAACTCTACCATTTCAATTAGTAAAACCACCCTCTGCTCATGGACACTTGTCTCTTGTGAGTCCCTCAACCTACAGGACCCACGTGGTTACACTAGGGATTGCACTCCCATCCCAGGGGAATGACTGAGGTCTTAGACTTGAAATCATAAATACTCAGTGGTGACTTCTCACCACAGAACAAAATGCACACCTGCCAATGTACAGACAACTACTAATACCCATAATTCTACCAGCCCATCCCAGTCAGGGCAGCATTCTAGTCTCATTGCAGGTGTGTCTCCTTAGCTCTACTGTGTTTCTGTTATTCCTGCTGCCACGCCTCTCACACACACTATCTCCATTCAGTGAAGCCTTCCAGAACACACCTCCAGGAGGGACAGACTGTATATAATGCCACTAGTTGCCATCAGGGTTACTTGTCAGGCATAGTGTAGGTGTTTTACCTAATTATTCCAAGTAAATTATACCCTTCCCCCACCCCACCTCCACCCCATCAAAGTAGTTATAGTCCTGCCAAATTTTTAGAATAGGAAGTGAAGTTTCAAGGTGGGTTCTTCAAACTTACAGTTATCTGTCTCCACATCATTGCACATTAAGAGCCTAATTCCAAGCAGTGAGTGAAGGTAAAATGATCATCAGAACCAAATGTGTTGTGGGAGTTTGGAGACAGAAAGGGAGCAGTTAGAGAAAAGGCGACCAAAGAAAGTCTTCAGGGAGGAGTAATTTAAGCTGGGCTTTGATGGAAGTGTAGGATTTGTAGAATATAGGATGGAAATTTCTCAGGCTTCTTAGGCCCCAGGAAGCGGGATTTGAGGATCTGTAGACCTCTTACCTTCCTTATGCTTGGCAGACATTTTTCGTTTGGTCCCCTTCTTCGCTGAGGTTCCCGGCAGCACTGTGCTTTGTTGATTGACAGCCTGCTGATCCTCTCCGGTTTCTGCCTGCTCTTGTTCAGATTTGGAATGTCCACATTCCTCCCTGGACTTCTCTGTGGAGTTCCACTGGGGATAGAGGAGCTGGTCAGTCATTCCTCTAGTGTCAGGACCACCACATACACTACCTGCCTTAATAAAACTCACTTCTCAGCTGGGCGCGATGG